AGTGTGTGTTGACAAAACGGGGCCATTTAAAGGGGGTTTTTTTCCCCCCCCCAGATCCCCCCGGCAGGGGTGGGGGGTCGGGGGAATTCTGGGAGTTGAAGTCCACTCATCTTAAAGTGGCCACGTTTGGACAACACTGGTCTACAGCTAAACCGGTTCAAACTGCCTTGTGTGTTGCAATCTCTTGCCCCATAAGACTATAAAAACTAAGTTGGCGTGGCACACCCTGGCATACCTGCTGCCTATGCTTTGGGTGCTGACCACCCAGCTTCCTTTACTCGGCCGAATAAAGAGCTGTTTCTTTCTAAGAGCCTCCTCCTGAATTCTTGGCATTGGATTTCTCTGGGATGCAGGGCTGCAAACCTTACAGTGAAAAACGGTCAAGATAAAGGTGGGGCATAAAACAGGTAGAACTTCAGTCACACCCCCGCAGTTGCCATCTTGGCTTTCCGGACCGTATCCTGCAGACGCCCCCGTCACCGTGGCTCGTCACGGGTGCCAGTGTTCGGCGACTGCACAGGACTGATATAGCCCGGAGGCGGCTTACCTGTGAGCAGGCCAATCAACAGGTAGAGCTGGGCCAGGCTGGTGGCGAACGAGGCCGCGCAGTAGCCCAACCCGGAAAGGATCCCCCCAGCGATGGCCACCGGGCGCTCCCCGTAGCGGGTGCCAAGCGCGCTTGCCAGCGGGCCTGGGCGGGCGCAGAGAAAGAGAGAAAAATGGGGGAATTAAGGCGTTTCCCACCTTTCACGTTCATCAGCTGGTTGCAAAAATCAGCGGATGGGCCTTCTCCACCATTAAACGTGCTCCCCGGCCATGGAGTGAAATAGAGCCCGGTTAGGGCCAACCAGAGAATTTTGGAGGAAAATGCTCGAGTGAATGGCAGATTTTCATTAGAAAAAAAAAAAAGCAAGGTGAAATATTGATTATTACTGACTTAATTCACTTCCTCAGCAATCTGGGGACCATTGAGCAGGATATTTTCCCCCTATTGGTTTTGTAGATGCTGTTCCTATTGTTGGCTTGTAATCTGGTTTTAAGATGGGCGGCTATACAAATGTAATAAGCAAAGGAAGAATAAATAAGTAAGTAAACCAATGCGTCGATGACATAACTGGCCACTTCCCCAACCTGATGCCCTCTGCAAAGACAAG